CTACTTTGCTTCTGCCTGGGCCACCCATCAGAGGCAGGTGCAGCATATTGGCTCAGGTGGGCAGAGCCCCTCAAGAGCGCAAGGAGGAGCACCAGAGCGCTGCCAAGCACGAGTCCCGCCAAGGGTTCACCAGTCCGTTCACGAGTCCCCCCACAGGGAAGTCGCCTTCCAGTTTTTCCCGGGGCTGTGGGTGAGGGCAGCGTTTCGACTGCTGCATCCGAACGAAAGTCAGGAGGCAGAAATCCATGACAATTTACTGCAAATCACCCAGATACCTACGAGCAAACCCCGCGCCAGCCTCGAGCAGAACACGAGGAGCCGGACGCGTCTGGGCGCGCTGCAGGACGGGGCGAGGCGCCTTTCCTTCCTCCGCGCCCCGCCTCTTGGGCGGGAAAGCCAGGCCTTCCACTCGGCGGGGGAAGCCGCGAGGAAGCGCGCGTGGTCGGCCCCTTCCCTCCTGCCAGCCCTCCTACGAGGGCGAAGCTGCCCCAGCCACGAACGCCCTCTGCGCCGGCCTTTCGCCAAGGAGCGCCCCTTCGCGCAGCCCGCCGCCCGCCTCGGCGACGCCCGCGCGGGCTCCTGCCAGCCGGCTTCCCGCGCAGGCCTCGGCCAGGGCCGCGCCCCTCCGCGGGGCGGCGCCCGCAGGCGGGAGTCCGGGGGCGGCGGGCTCCGCGCGCCCCGGCCCCGTTTCCAGAGGGCGGTCCGGCTGGGCTTCCGCGAGAAAACCCCCGAAGTATGCTTCGGGCTGCGCCTTTTCCGGCGTGGCCTTCTGTGGGCTACAGTGGCGCTGGCTGAAACGGCCTAGAATCCGCCAAAGCCCATGGCGCAATCGACGCGCTTCGCGTCCCTGTAACCGTTCCGGCTGCGGACTGTGCTAAGGGTGTGTCCCGTTGCGCCGGGCGCACTGACCTCCGCCAAGGAGCCTCGTCTGGCTGCCCGCATGGGTCCGGCCCTGCGCCTGTGACCGCCAGCTTTTCCGCAAGCTTGTCCCATCTAAATGGTGCCCCCATGGCCTGCCCCTTGGTTTGGTCCTGGCGGGGGCAGCAGTCCAGCGCCCGAAGCCCCGGGCTCTTACGGCTTTCCTCTCAGCAATGACACCACGCCTCGATTTACCGCCGTGAATCCTGACGCCCGAGCCGAGGCTTCACGGGCTGCACTTGCCGGTGAGGGGAGGTGTGCTTGCTGCGGTGGGCGCCCTTCTGCGATCACTGCACTTGCTTCGGACGGTTCCGGCTCTGATGATGCCAACCGGCTCTCTGGCGGAGCAAGGGCTAAGTGACCTGGCAAACGCATTTAGGGGGTGCAGTTTAGCCCACACGTGCCACTGCAGCAGTACCCGCTGCCTCTGGGCACTTCGCTTGGGCGAAAAGGGGTGCGTGCGCCCCAGTGAGCTCTCCGCACGTGCCGCCCCACGTCTCCCTCCAGATCTTGGCTTCGGCGGGGTTTTCACATCTCCGAGGTGAATTCCATTGGCGACGGCGAGCCGTGCTAGGAGAGGAATGCTGAGAATTGTAGATGCTATTTCTCTCGCAGCAGGCACAGGATCGCGGGCGATTTGTTAGTCGTACAGGCGGCGCAAGGGATTCGTCGGTTTTGTCGCGAAATCCCCCGCCAGGCCGCCCTCTGGAAACGGGGCCGGGCGTGCGCCTGAGCGGGGCGCGCGGGCCTGCCGCCCCGGACGGCCGCCTGCGGGCGGGGCCCGAGCGCGGAAGACCCGGCGCCGACCCACGGTGGGGCGCGGCCCTGGCCGAGGCCTGCGCGGGCAGCCGGCTGGCAGGAGGGACGGGGCTGGCTAGGCGCGCTTTCTCGCGGCTTCCCCCGCGGAGTGGAAGGCCCGACCTGCGGGCCCAAAAGGCAGGGCGCGGAGGAAGGAAAGGAGCCTCGCCTCGCCTCGCCTCGCCGCGCACCCAAACGCGGCCGGCCCCTCGTGTTCTGTTCGGGGCTGGCGCGGGGCAAGAGTTTGCCTCTTGCCTGGCCGGTCCGGGGGAGCCGTTCGGTTCCATAAAGCTTTCGCGCGCGGTGAATGCGCGGGAGAGCCCGGCGAGGCCGGCTGCGTCTTCTCGGAGTCCCTGCCGCTGGCGCGACTGCCGGCCCCATGTTCGGGCTCTGAGGCCCCCAAGTTCCTTTCCGCCTTGCCCGGCCTGAGTGGACTGTGGCCAGAAAAGGCCCGGCGATAGAGCTTCCCTATCTGTGTCCTATTTAACGAGGGGAGAACTCGCTTGGCGGGAGACCTCGCTATAAGCTGCGGTATCTGGAAGGGCGCGCAGTGTGCCATTCGGACACCTTTGTTTTCTTTTCCAGAGCAGGCGGGAAGCGAGGGCGAACCCGCGTCCTCCTCCCGGCAGAAAGTGGCCGACTGCCCAAGACTGGGGCTGCATTGTCTGCAAACGGCACGGGGATCGCAATGCTTCACTTGGCAAGGACGTCCGGGGAGGAGTAGAGAGGGGAGAGGAACACGCACCACAACTCACTCTTGCACATGGTTTATTTAAACAACCAGCCCCAAAAAGAGGGGCTTCAGCCAGGCTGCTTATGAGCGGGTGTGAAGGAAATTTCACTGTTTGGCTTCAGCAACGGACGACCGCCAAACTAAATAAGTCAAGGGGGAAAGTAGGAGACAGGAAATTGACTGCGCGGTGTGTGTTTTTTTGTCTGCACTGAAGTTTCCCTTGAGTGGTTTCATTTGGATTCTGTCTAGCCTCGCAGGCTCCATAATTCCTGGGACCGCCAAGCCCGCACCAGCACTGCCCCTCCGAAGACGCTTCGCCTTTTCGATCTGCAGCGACTGAAATAAGAGGAAAAGTGTGGCGCAATGTATTTGTCCTGTAACGTGTCTTCCAAGAAGCGTGCAATTTTCCTGCCGTTAGAATGCACGGAGATCATAGGGTAAATATTTCGACAAGGTGAGTAGGATAAATGGCCAGGAACTGTATCTTGTGAATGCAAGCGTCCGTTTCTGTAGCAAGGTTCTCGCAGGTGGGTGTGCAGGAGAGAGGATGATTTCGAGTACTGCTTTCCCCTGATCAGCTGCGTGGGTGCCTAGGACAGGGCTTCACCGTTTCTGCGGAAAAGGTTTTTCGTTTATTTATTGGCGGGCGATCGGAAGCGAGAGCGGAAAATCCTTGCCGAATAGGAAGGATTCCCTCTGCGGCTACAACCGCCTGCCCGGAGAAGCCCGAGGGACTGGCTCGCGAGGCTTTGTCAATGCCTCTTTGCCCCCTGGTGGTCATTCGGCGTAAGGGCAGGAGCAGGCCTTCCGTTCGGGGTTTCGAAAACTCTTCGGTGGGGTCCAGATGGAAAGGGGGGGGAAATCCACACCGTCGTTTCCATTGTTCTTGTGGCTTGCAGTTTAACTCCCAGCGGGGCATTAAGAAGGAAAACCATCTAGAGGTCGTCCTTGGGGAGGGGGTAGTAAAAAGGGAGGGTGTAGCCGTGGTTCCCCCTATCGTCCCCTCCTTTCTGATTAAAAATCAGATGTCTCCCTGCTTTTAAAACTATAATATGTGTCTCTGAGAAGTTAAATGGTTGAAGCATAATATATGGGGTTATGTTCTAGCCAACGTTTCACTCTATATAACGCTGAATTATTAAATGTAGATTCTGTCAAATAAAATGGCTAGGGGATAGCTCCAGAATTCACCTTAAGTGAGGGGAAAGGAACATCCATCTGATTTGGGGGTGAGGGTTCCCCACATTGCAGCCATTCAGTGGGAACTTCTCTCTATTTAATATTTTCTGGGGGCTGGAGGGGCTGCCCTGGAAGGAGGGGGCAGGGAAGTCCACTTCACAAGCACAATTAATCCAAACTAAATCCTGATCCCATGGTATGGCTGCAATCAATGCACATTTACCTGGGAGTAAGCACCCCTTAAACTTGATCGCACTTCTGAACAAACATTTATATGGCCTTTAATCCTAAAAACACTTAATTGTAAGTGAGTCTGCAGTGCCATAAACACTGGGGAGTAAGCCCCATTGAAAAAAAGAGCTTACTTCTGAGTAGAGATGCCTAGGATTGCCTGGCACCCTTACATTCAGTTGGATTTGAGTAGATTCATCTAGGATTGTCACACCTCTACAAATCTATGCATATTGGTTAAGAATAAGTTCTCATGTAGTAAATGGGCCTTACTTCTGAGTAAACTTGAATAAACTGTTCTATTCTAACGATATTTGACGTTTCACTGAAAGAAGTATCTTATTGCAGAGTAAATGCATTTAAGATGTGGTATAAGAAATGGAAAATGGGAATCTACAGAGGGTAAAAAAAAGATGTGAAGACAATCCCCTTGTGGTCCTTATCCCCTGGTGATAAAATCTCTGCATGTTTGAATGCTGGGTGTTCCTGAAAAAAATGCATTCATGCTTATTTTCATAGTTTTTAGCAGAAAGTTAGGTAGACGATCATAACAAATGTGTAAATCAACCAAAATGGCTGTTGATTTAAACTGAGCACACTTTTAAGCTGGAATATCACACAGTCTCAAACACAATTCCAGCCTCATTGTGTTCATGCTTACTGAGAAACTAAGGCCCACTGAATTAGATGGGTATACTGTTATGTAACTGCTCAGGGTTGGTTCTATGGGGCTTGCTCTGGATAAACAAACAAGAATTGGATCAGCCGGTGAGAATAAGGTGCAATGAAATCAGCGGAGCAATTTGAATGAAAATGGGCCCAATCCATCACTGCAAAGTTCTTCCTAACAAGCACAAGGGGCTAAGGAATTGCAGATGTTTTACTCTGTAAGGCAAAATGCGCAAAGCAAGCCTTTGTAGGCCTGATATCAGAGTACCTCAGTGCAGAAAAAGTAGCTGCATTATAGATGCCATCATAACCTTGCACTCACCTAAGCAGTACTAGCAGAAGAGCGATGGCAGAAGGTTGAGGCAGACTTGTGTGATTCCAAAGGCAAATAAACTCAGAAATCATAGGGACATAATTTATGTAGATCATTTGACATTTTTGTCCCCCTTCCCTTTCATTAACTCTTGTTGCAGTGTGCATTCAGTTTTGGGGTAGCCCCCCTTCCTGTTTACTTCCTTTGTGCACCATTGGAAATGGAGGCAGCTGAACTTCTGTTCTTTGCACCTGGTTAGAGAAATCAGACAAGGTTATTCTGTCAAGCTGCCTGCCTTACGCTTTCCTTGTTGAGCCACCAAAGGCCAGTTTGATTGCTTCATGGGGAAACTAGTCTATCATCACCTGTTACAAGTCGGGGAATTTGGATGACATAACACTCCATCTCCATCTCCCCTCCATCACTGGACTTGAAAGGCCCCTGGTCCAGGAATGTTCCTCTGACTCCCCCGCAACGTGCAACCTCAGCCTCGTAACCCCCACCCTACCGGGCAGGTGCCCACATCTTTAAGGTCACAAATCCTTGAAAGAGCTTGAGCTGCCGTCATTTCCCTGCTATCTGGCTCCAAGTTCAATACTATTGGTGACATTTTAATTTTCTCTGCTCTCAAGCCGAGGAGCTTTGCACATCGCAGGGACAAGGGACAAAGCAGGCGAGGGTCACAGTGGCCGGTTCTGTCAGCCCATCCCGAGGTCTCTGATTGACATATGTCTCTATCCCAACCCCAGCAGTTATCAACACCAGAACTTACTTGAGCCTTTCGTAGGGTCGTGCCTGTGTATCTGACAAGTCCCTGATGGAGGAGAGGGCAGGAGGTTAGAGATGAAATGGAATTGTTCAATCCTTCCCCTCTATATACGAATGTCATTTTAAGATAACCAGGCAGTCTTCTTCCTCTATTTCTTGCTTGCTCAGTCTAGCTTTTCTTTCCTTCCTGATACCTCCTTTGTTTCCCTGATCACCTTACCTCTTGTTAGGCCATATTTAGAAGAATTTCTTTTCCATCCTCCCACCTGCACCCATCCAAGGCAGCCCTGCTTAGAAGATCCGATCTGGGTGAGTGCCACTGGCCACAGGTGCCCCACACTGAATTAAACTGTTTAGGGTCACCTTTTTCTAATATACTTCCTTCAGCTGGAGAATTTTCTCTCCTCCCCCTGCCCCTCAGTACCAGCCAGCTTCTGTATAGGCAGAGTGATATATTTATTAATTCATATATATATGAATAATTCAGTGGCAGAAAGATCCTAAGCAGGTTTACTCAAGTTAAGTCTGGTTTTGTTCTGAACAGCCTTAATCTTGGAGGGGAGAGGTCTACCAAGAGAAAACTCAGTCAGTAGGAGGTAAGGTGGTGATATTAATATGGTGATTGAAAAAACATATAAAGCCTATTTCTATAATTACTATCCCGACTAAGCCAATTCCATTTATCTTCTCAGCTGAATATCTCTAGTTTTGTTTCAGAAAAAAATTAATTAGGCCTCATGGTTTCCTTTACTGCCTGGTTTTACAAAAAATGATGTCTATGTTATTAAGCCAGGAAACCTGGATAAAAATGACCTGATGGGTACACCTGTTGTTAAAACTGGGCATGATTTGCCACATTTAAGTACTTTTTGCCTACGATCCTACATCCAGTTACTTGAGAGTAGGTCCCCTTGAACTGAGCAGAATTTCCTTTGGAATAAACAGGCATGCAATTGTTCTGCTTTGGTAACACAACCATTGACATGAATGGAACTTAAAACTGGTCTGGCTGGATCCTGTTGTCGTTTTGATTTCCTCTGAATTATTTGTCTACAGGGTAGTGGTAGTAAGCCCAAGAACTTTGTAAAATGATACAAAGGATGCTTCAGGCCAGTTCACCAACTAGTTACACTCAAGGGGCTGGATTTAGCCCTGTTTAGTTTCAGCAATTTCAGTGGAAATAAATTGCTCACTCGTTTTGGCCAGTTTAACCCTGTTATGACTTATACCAGGATTTGAGCTGTAAAATCTTGTTACACCTGAGAGTTCCCTGACTACGGTTTAACAAGGCTGTGGATTTCACTGATAGTCCTAATTTTGAATTCCTAATTTGCATGGGCACCGTGAACCAAAGCTATCTGAACACTTAGGGCAAGAGACAGGGAATGGCCAGTGATAATATTTTTACTAAGCCAGATAGATAGATAAATAAATAAGCAGACAAATGGTGCCCCCTTAAAGTTAGAGGCTGGTTAGTAGCAGAGTGGGATAACCCAGTCAGTGCAGAGGCTTTGGCCTTGCAGAGCCAGCGTGTGCTGTCGATATTCTGAGCCGAGGCTGGGGTCGATACTGTAAGTTTCCCTTGGCAGGGAGAAGAACTTATCAATAGGGATTACGATCAAGTGTGTGGCAAAGTAATAAGGATGACTCTGTTGGAGCATTTGGTCATATTCGTTTCATGTATTCAGCTGGACAGCTTCACTTGCTGCAGTAGAGTTCTTTTTGGAAACCACTGCCGTTCGTTTACACTAAATTTCCTTTTGTGGTTGCATTTCCAGGAAAAAATAACCCATGGCATAAAGAGCCAAATTGTTCTTCTTACATAGTTTTTTTTAAAAAAACACTGGGGGGGGGGTTGTCCCATTAATGGCCCTACTTTGCCCATCATGAAAATATAAGAACAGATCACATTCACTTGTCTTTTTGTATGAGGAGGGGAATGATCCGATCTTGGGTGAATTCCTGTATAAACCGCATTCAACACACTTACCTTGAGTAGTGTAAACCAGGCTTGAAAAGCCACTCTTTGAATATGCACTGTAAAAGTTTAACAGCAGTTACAGCCAAGGGTTCAAAATTGCAAAGTTAAATATTTGTTTTTAATTTTCTGGCTCAGAAATTTTAACTACCAGGCAAGGTTCCTCCTGCGGATGCTCTAATGGGCTTGCATAAATAGTTGTGTTATTACCACTTGTCTGTTAAAACAACATTTGCTTCGCATCCTGACACATCGTATTTAAAATCCTGGCAGCCAAGAGAAATCTCTCATCTAATGGGGGGGGGGTGTGATTGAAATGAACTTGCTTCCATGTTGCAGGGAGAGAAGAAAGCCGCATTGAACGATTTATATAGTCTGTCTGAAAAATTAACAAAACATAGCGCTTCTATTAGTTTTTAATTAGATTGTGTGGTTTTCAGCATGTTTAAAGGACAAGACTGTGTGCCTACAGAGAAAGAGTTCAGCAGAAAACTGTTTGATTAAATATATTTACTATGGGGAGAGTTCCTGACCAATTCAAATGGGAGGGAGGAGGGGGAGGGGTTCCATTCCACTAAATTCAGTGGGCTGTCAATAACACAGAAAAAGGCCAACATGACTTTTAAACAGTGTTCCATTTTAAAATGCAGGAGCTGAATGTCCAATTGGAAGAAATAACAAAGAAATTGTTTTATTTTCACTGGGATTTTTCCATGAGTATTCCTCCTAAGAAAATGATGACTCCTTCCTTAATACTTAAGCCATTTCTTTAAATTTCAGAAAGAACTGGGTGTATATAAGAGGCAGAACAAGTAGATAGTTGATTTTTATGGAGCTATTTTCTGGTTTGAGATTATATGCAGAAGGAATGTGGGTACTGCACACTCAACACCTGCTCCAGCCATGGGAAGTTCTCCTGTGGAAGGCCTTTTGCAATGACTGGGGTATGTGCCAAAGCACAAGAAGGAACTTGGAAGGAAAACTTCCCACTGGATCTTACTCCATCAGTAGAAAAACTCCCATCCAATTGTAGTGAATTGGCTCTACATGATGATTCACTCACTGCATGTAAATATTATATTAGCAATAAATTCATTCACTGGGTAGACAACAAACTAGAATTAATTGAATTTTTATACCTCCTAATAGCCAAATCCCTCTGGATGTTTCATAGCAACTATAGTAAAAGTTTCTATGAAAAGGAATCAGTTCCTCAAGAAACCTAACTTTTTAGGTTTCCCGCCTCTTCCAACACGCCATCCTAAGACTGTAATCAGGGCAGACCCCATGGCTTTAACACAAGGCTAGCTCCCCCCCCCCCCATTTTGCATAACATCAAGCTTGAGTAAGAGCTTTGGAAAAAAGCCTTGCTCACTGTTTTGTTACATTTCTGGTTGGTTGTAATAAAGGTACTGCTTTTTACATATTTTGGCATTTTCTTTTGACAAGCACAACCAGATGTTTGTTTGGTTGGTTTTTTTTAAGGCTGAAATTCTTACTAGTAAGTAAAGTCAATTGCATTCAATGGAACTTCCTACAGAGTAAAAATGCTTTGGATTTTGCCGTTCAACTCCCTACCCGTCCAACTTTTGGAAGCTTTCTTTTTGCTTTGTGTTTCTGCATTGACCTCCATTTGACCTGCAGAAGTAACTTTCTGTGACTTAAAAAAAAAAGTTCAATATATTCTTGCATGCAACTTCAAAGTGCAGCATTTTGAAGGTAGTTCAAGCCTATAAAACAGCCTGCCTTAGTTAAGTCTTTTTGCCTGGGGTCGCATGTTTGCGGGCCATCCCATTTCATTGAGTGAGACATTTCTGTATTGCTGATTTTGTTTTTTCGTCTTTTGAAGCAGAAAAACTCGCTTGCATTCAGCAGTAAGGTCTTTTCTCTGCTGCTTTTCTCTTCAGTCTGGTTCCATCAAATGATTTCTCGCACAACACGTGAGCACATGCCCCTCAGCTGAAGAAAAGCTCTCGATATATTAAGGTATGCGTGCCTGGTAGAAAGGAGCCTGGCTGGACCCTGTCCTGGGATAATCGGGCAGAGGCAAATATTCCACCTGCTGGTGCACCTGCCAGACCGACAGCCAGAACCAGGATAAGCCACAACGCTTGGCTAACGAGATGTCTGCTTTCCAAGCAGTGTGTGCAAGAAACCCATCCCCACTGCCCAAGCCTGCAGGTATCCCACTGCCCATCAGCCAGTGCACTGCATTAGCAAAGCAGGCTTCCGGGTGAAGTCCCAGTACTTTTTTTTTTTTTCCCCCAAATGTGATTGCGGTTCTGGCTCTTAGGTCCAAAGTAGTGTATTATTGATGCAGTCTGATGTATCTTTCTGTAGATATATATATTCACAGGTTGCCTGGTGAACTGGGCTTTGATTCTTTTATTTGGCTTTCAGCAGTTTCTATTTAGCTTTTTTAGTGTATGTATCTCAGCCGTAATTTTTCAGGAAAATATACATTCACGATTCATTTTACACAGCAGGGAGGAAGATTATTTTCTTACCATTCCAGGAGTAACAGAAAGTAATGGGCCTGACAGAGACAGTAGAAAAACTGCAGTGCCTTACTGTCCTTATTTCTAATGGAATTAGCACTCCTTTTCTTAGATACGTGTATACACACTTGGTGGGGGTGAAACCCTGTCTGCGTTCTCCCAGGCATCACAATGACCGTGGGGCAGGAGGAAGAGAAATGCCGATTTCCCCCTCTCCCCAAACGGCTCTCGCAAGATAATAGTCTAGGGAAGCGAAATAAACATCCAGCGCTGCTGAGCTGCTCGCCGTGTCGCCCTCCCCGTCCTCTCCCGGGCTCGCCCCTTTCACCTGTTCCAGCGCCCAGCGAACTATTAGCCGAGGCTATTGATCGCCCTTCGCGAGGGCGCCTCCGCCCATTCATGCGGCCGGGCGTAATGAATTCGTCCGCTTAAAAACATTACAAGGAATATGGGAGATTGACTGAGAAAGGAAGTGACACTTGACCCCTTTCGAGTCCTGCACCCCCGAGGAGAGAGACTGCTTTCAAAATACGAGTCGGCCCTGCTGGGAGGCTGGAAGCGCCTTCCCCGCCCCCGCCCCCGAAGCTGGTGCGGCGGCGAAGCGCAGCAACCGGGAGGCGCCCGCAAGCCCGTGCGGTGAGAAGCCAGGCACGCGGGGGGGGGGCGTGGGCCCCAGTTGGCCAGGATCGCGGGCGAGCCCGTTCTCCGTGGATGCCGCTGGTGGCAAGCCCCCCGGAGCGGGCAAAGGCCCCCGAGGGAACTCCGAGGCGTCCCGGAGCGCCGCGACCGCTGCCCAGGTAAAAGCGCGCGGGCCGTTTCGGCGGCGCCGGCGCTGAGGCGGACGCTGCTGCTGCTGAAAGGGCCCCGGCGGCGGCGGAGGCGCGGCTTTGCTCCCGCCGCCGCCGCGGTCCAGGCCGCCTCCGTGAGGCGCGAGGACCGCGCACCGGCGCGCATCTGGCTCCTGCGCGGCACCGCGTCCCGCCGGAGTTGCAAAGAGAGCGCAGTGCCGCGGGGGTGCGACCCCCCAGTTGGTCTCGCAGATAAGGCGCGTCTCGCCCACCCCCCGCTCCTTTGGCGCGGGAGCAGCCGAGGCGCGCGGGATCCCGTTTTGCAGGGCGGCCGGGCGGGCAAGCGCTCTCGGGTTCGGAGACCGCCGGGAGCGGAGGGAGCTTTCCCGCGGAGCGACCATGGCGCCGCCTTGCCCGCCCCTTCGGGGAAGTGGCTCCCCTGCCCCTAGCGGGGAGCCCGAGGCAAGGCCCCGCCCCGCGCTCCTGCTCGTGGGGGAGGCACCCCCGACGCCCCGCGCCGCTGCCGCCCGGCGCTGCCGGCTCTTCGGGAAGGCTGCCGCCGTTGCCGCGCCGCGCCGCGAAATTCTTGTCCGGCAGCCGCGCTCCCCGGGCGCGGGCGAGGCGGACTTGCAAGGGCCTTGCCCAGGTTGGGTTCGAGGGCCTCCTGCTGCTGGCAGACGCCCTTGCCGAGGCTGGCCCTGAACCCGCGTTCGACGGTAGAAGAGCCCCAGTGCAGAGCCCTCAAAGGAAACCCGGGGGAAGAGCAGAGGGGGCCCAGCCGGCCCCGTGGAGGGCTGTGGAGCGGGAGCGCCTTCGCACGCCGCGGTAGGTACCCGGCGCAGTCACTGCGTCACCCTAGACACGTTTGCTCGGAAGTAAGGCCGCCTCTGTTCAGACGTTCCTACCCGCGCGCCCAGATCCTCTTCTGTGGCCTGGCTACCACTGCCCCCCATTGCCCGCTAGCCCCCCCCCCCCCCGCTATTCCTGCCTTTCAGTGCGAACCCCCACACAGGGGAATGCCTTCGAGGGAGACCCCCCAGCGACTTCCTGGCTTCCTTTCAAGACCTTTCTCTGGCCTCAGGCCTTTCAGCTCCTTACTGGGGCTGCTTTAGCACACGGGCCCGCAGATTACGGCCCGGGGCCCGATTTGGCCCGCCATGCCGCTCGCCTCGCCCCACGCGTGGGAGGCAGCGGTTTGCTCGCTCGGAGAAAACGACCTCCGAGCGAGCACGCCGCTGCTGCCTCGGGCATGCCGGCCCCGCCTCGCCTCGCCTCGCCGCACGCAGCACCGCGCCCCTTCGCCCGCCTGCGCGCCCCGCCAGCGCCGCCTTTCCAGCCCCCGCCCGGCACCGGCACCTTTCAGCTGGCCCCCTGGTGAAGCAGTTCGAGGGCCCCTGCTTTAACATGTTGCCCTTACGGCTGTTTTTATTTCACTGTCGCTGTTTGCGGGTGTTAATTTTATACTGTTTTTCATCATAAATGAAATCAGTAACCATTAGAAACAGTGTTTGTAAGATGAGGGCCACTTTTCTGTATTGACCTGCCAAGGCCCAAGCCTGTGCGTGTTTAGGTGGGAAAAGGGCCTACAACTCCCAGCATGCCCCAGTCAGCCTTCATGGGACTTGTAGGCTCCCTTTCTGCCTAAACAGGCACACTCTTACTAATCAGGCACTTTGGACCCATTTACAATATTCCATTCATGGGGGAAATTAGTGACTCATTCAGAAGGAAGGTAACGATCACTGGGAAAATAAATCCTCCACCAAAGTTGAGCTTCACCACACAGGTTTGCAGGCATATTGGTAGCTCTTCAAAGGGGAGCGATCCAGCTAGAGAGGGTATTAATTAGTTCATATGCTGTGCAGGCCCACACATGTTTACTCAACAGCAGGTGTCCTACAGAAAAGCTCCTAGATCAATGCAAGCCAGAGCTTTCCCTCGAAGCAAAAATGGCAAAGGTGAGGCTGTCATAGTTTGGGCACATCATGAGAAGGCAAAACTCTCTGGAGAAGACAGTCGTGTGTGGGAAAGCTGAAGGCAGAGGAAGAGGAAAGCCATGTCTGAGATGGATTGCTCCACGAAGGAAGCCACAGCCTGGAATTTACAAGAGCTGAGCAGGGCTGCCAAGGATAGGAGGAGGGCTTTCATTCACAGGGTTGCCCTCAGTCAGTGCTGTCTTAATGGCACGTGACAACAGAGTTACCCTAACTTACCTACCATACAGGGTTGTTGCAAGGAGGAAAACGGAGTGGAGGAGAACAATGTGAGTAAGTAACTAACTAAATAAATATGTGTGAATAAAATAAGTATTCTAGGGAAAGCCAGCATTGCTCAAGGGTTCTCCTTGTTCCCACAGTGCATCTGAAGCACTTCTTTCAGCAGGAGTGTGTGGAAACAAAGGGCCCCATTGCCACACACACGCTCATGATCTGGGGCAAAAAAATATTAGCAAGGGGCAAGATGACTCTGAGTGGTTACAGACCCGGTGAGTTAAGTGAGAGCTTCTGCCTCCACTGCGGCTCCAGCTTCTGCCAGGCAAGCCAAGGAAATGCATCTCACTTAAGGAGCAGGGATGAAGCAACCCACATGGTCCTCTGCATCCCCCCCCCCCGCCAGGCTAGGCACATTTGCACGGGAAATGCAAGAAACTGGGAGATGAGTTCGGATGCCATAAGTCCACAAGGATGCCAGCACACTTCCATTTTGTGTGGTCAGAAGAGCGGCTGTTGAGCAGGTCAGCCCTGCATTTTTACTCCCCCTGCTTTCTTGAGCACTTGCTTTCCCTGCTGTGGCGTGATCTACTCCTATTCCCAGGGTTATTCTTGCTGAACTAATCAACATGACACCCGGTTTTGTAACAAGTAATAAAGTAGGAAGCAGTGGCAGGAGACAAGTTTCACCTCACTTGAGCCCTGCAGTGAGAGTGGCAAGAAGATGGCGGCCCATGCCCTCCTTGTCCAGCCACCGTTTCTGCAGCAGGGGGCACAAGAGGGTGGTTCGGGTGCTGGAGAGGCGTGCTGTGGCCTTGCCACAGCGCTGCCGATTTCAGCAGGAGCTCCATGGGTTGGAGCAAGGCATCGTGGAAAGCCAGGTACTCTTGACTCCTGTGAGATGGGCAGGTTGCAGTTTTCCTTCTGTTGGTCTCAGCTGGAGCAGCGGTGGGGGTGGGGGTAGGGAATGAGTGACGGTCAAATGTACTCTTTGCAGTGAAAACAAGTATCAGTTACTGTTTTTGCTCTCTTGTCCCAAAAGAAGTTCTACGGGCTGTTTGAATACAAAAATAAATTTCCCATCAAGTTAGTTCAAACAGGGTTGTTTTAACCATTTCCAGTTGGAAGCCATCTTTCCAAATAAAACCCAAATGTTCCACATTTTCTAGGAACATTACCAAGAACTGCAAGCATTAGAACAGTGTTAAGTGAGCCCATTCCTGTGGGCTGCCCTAGTATAGATGGGCTGGCTGGAATTTATGGGAGTTGTAGTCCAGAACATCTGGAACGCACCTGGTTGAGGAACGCCACTTATAAGGGTGATTAAACAGATGTGGCTAAGTTATTGGGTCATGCTGTCGTCCTTCCAGCTCTGATCTGAGTGTCTTGTAAACAAGTCTTGTGAGACGTTTAGTGCACCCACAGAGCAGTTGCGTCAGACATACCTATGGATACACATCACTGTACAGATGTAGTAGTTTAGAAAGGCACCTAAGAACATCTTAGAGAGAGAAAACAACCTGTAAATGTTGATGGAGCTTGGCAAATACGTTAGAATGTAGACATGTATTGCCCATATCTTAGTGCTGAACTCAGCTCTTGGGCTCACTTTGGGCTTTTAAGACTGGCCCAGTGCAAATGAACAGGTTGTAATTCTGTTCACATAAGCAAGGTGGGCCTCCTTTCACCAACGCAGTAGCATAAGCCTAAATCAGGGTCCAGTGCCCAATCCTGACAGCCTACAAATATCACGTTCCATCAAATACTGATTACCACTGTGCGATACCTCTCAAATGCTAAAACATGGAATAGTACATCATGCTACCATATGTCAGCCATCAACTGCTACAGTCCCAGTGTAGCGGAAATCTCCTGTCTGCAGTGAGGAGGATGGGCAGCCAGGGGTCCGTTCTCTGCAGTGCTCCCCTCCCAGCTGCAGGGGCCTGTGGGATCTATCCTGGCCACTGACATTTCTCAGTCAGTGATGGGGGCCTTCCAGTGCTCCAAGCAAACGGCTGCGGTTGCATCTGCAGCAGAGGTGGGCAGCACACAGCCTGGCACCGCCAGCCGTTTTGCACGCCCTTCTCTGTTTGCCACACCGGTTCAGCAGAGGGGAAGAGGCCTCTTTTGAAGGGAACTCCGCTTGCTGCCACATTTTGGGGGCACTGTTCTAAAGGCAAGTGGCCCCTTTTTGCTGTTGCTGCCACGCCATGGACCCTTGTCCTTTAAAAGGGCCCCCCCACCCCATGCTGCCTCACTGCTGACCTTTGGCACCAGCGGGACAAGTGGGGAGGCGTATGTCTCCTGGGGTCTGGGATGGGGCAACTAGTCCCAAGTCTTGGAAATTGCCCACCCTTAACTGGTAAGCTCAGCTCAGCTCAGCAACGGTCAGAAATACAATGCATCAGCCACTGGGTATCAGGCAATTCAGTCAAAATGAGTGTGTTTATTACTGGTAACCCATATTTGGAGAATACTTGAAGAACAGGCAAGCATCTGGAGAACATCAAACTTTGGAAAAGAGAAAGGTTGGGTACAAATTTATTCTTACTCTCACGAGAGTCTGCAAGAGTCTCCTATGAAACAGCTAAAAAGACATTTCAGCCTAGATTCTTTTGTCCTTCTTCCATTTAGCCGTTCCGTAAAGAATGGAGGTTATCTGGAGATTCTGCTTCTCCACTTGTGCTGGGAGGAATCTCCCTCTGACCTGCTGGCCTGGGGAAATCAGCAGCTCCTGGAGGACAAGCATGCCCTCGACTCGTGGGAAAGAGTAAAGTTTGGAGGCAGGAAAGAGACACAAGCCATACCTTCTCTTCCTCCAGGTGTTCATTTCCAGGCTGATTAATTAGGATGATGCTAGGCCCGCCCTCCCATCATTATTAACTACTCTGGCTGCTGATTAATTAGGCACTGGCATTTGGACTCATATATTCATTAGCAGATTGTCTGATTTCTGTTTTTTCAGAAATTTCCCCCAGGAGAGCACAGTCCTGGGAGTGCACAAACATCTTCTGGAGCTTGCTTCCTTTCCAGCTCATTTACCTCCCTCTTTTTGCAAACAGTTGCACAGCACCCTGCCTGGACCTTTTGCTGGTGAGACAAGACACATCCCATCATCCACAGCAAGAAATCCCTTTGCAACAACGCTCCCAAATAAAGGAGTGACTCGCAGAATCCTGGCTGACCTAGGGCCGCTCAGTTAGGATGAACTAAATCTGCAGTGGGGAAATGCAGTGTGGGCCTCCTATTCTCTTAGGGGTGAGCATCCTTAATGCATAGTCCTTAAAGTGCTGAAGGCTTCAGAGGAAATCCTTTCCTGTCTTTAGACGCTGGGTGGTAAATGCCAGGATCCCTCTTTTTGCATTAAAGACCTTTCTGGTTTTGAAACCTTGGAGCCTCTTCAGATCCTGCCCTGGAAGTTGTTCGTTCACTCAAAATAATTAGAAGGATTTCCCTTGCTAGCCCCTGCCCATTAACAAACTCAAAATAGAGCGCATCTTTATACTTCGGAGTCTTTTCCAGATGTTCAGCTTTCACTGTTCCTCACTGAAGGTTCTACTTCCAGAGGGCCTCCATTAACAATTAATTTTGCAGCAACCAGGTGTAACATCTGCTTCTGCTTTCCTGTCTTTTTTGTTTTGGCTTTTCACCTGTGTCCCTAAGGCAAAGCCCTTGCTTTTTAGAGTTCGAAAAAGCACCTCTTTTCCCCACACAGGCTCAAGTATCATATAAAAAAGGCTTGCAATTAATAAGAAGCCCTGGATCTTCACACAGGCCAACAGATTGCTGATGCAGTTCTGCTCAGCTGCTGAGATGCATCGAGGGCGAAGCCAGGCTGTTCTTGTGACATTCCCAGAGCCAAACCTGTAAGGAGACTTTCGGTTGCTTTGGCACCAGGCATATCCCTTCATCACAGCACAACTGGGCCTTGTATGCCTCTCTGCTGCTTTATTAGAATTAAACAGGAGCGCCTTTTCAAAACAGCATTTCATTTATTTTGTGGTTTATTTTCACATGGTGTGTTGCTTTTTCTCTGGGAAAGTTGGGGTGCCTCATCTGGCAGTCCTCTCATCCAGTTGTGGGCTGCACTGGATCTCAGCCAGTGTGCCATGTGGATGCTGTACGCGCAGGAAGGGAGTTTTCTACTAGCGTCAAAAGGAAGCTGAGCACAAATAGAATTGCTCGAATGACTAGAAGAAGGATGGATATAAAGAATCAGAGAAGAAGGTGTAACGTACTTGCTTCAAGATTGTATGAAGAATCCTAGGGATCTTGCAACCAATTTTTCACCAACCAGGCAGCTTTTCCAGCATGAACATCTTGCTAAAGCATCTACCAGGGCACTTGGGGTGGGGGGGGTCGGCAGCTGCTGGGTTTGTGCTTAGTTCCAGCAAGCTGCAGTTTCCCAGTTTTCCTCCTGCAGAAGTACGAGTGCATGAGCCTCGCCCTACTTCCTGGCTCTTCTAGCTAGAGAAGAACCTGTTCTCTCATCATTTCCCCCACTGATGTTCGCCATGTTTTTCTTCCCAAACCCATTATTATTTCTGAGTGTCTTTACCTTTGAATTTGGGAACCATAATCGCAAAACATCACGCTTGCTTGCTGGGTGTGGGAAAAGGCAGAGTGTCATTAGATGCTCAGGACGTATGACGGAAACTTGCCAGACCTGGTCCTGGTCACAAGCTACAGACCTGAACATCAGACTGGGGCGTGGTTGGCATTTCCATTGAAAAAGGTCAGGAGGTCTTTGAGTGCTACACAGAGCCGGATGAATGTGAAGAATCTGACATGCTCATTTCAAGCAGAGAAACAGGGCAAGCATTCCCTGCCTGGCAATTGTAAGGTGCTTCTGCAGATAATTTATTTCTATCCTGGTTTACTACCAAAGTCCTGAAGGCAGCTTGGTTTGGCTTCCCCCTACAACTGTTCCCCAGTGCTACTGAATGGGAGGGAAGAGTAGCTTCTATCCACACAGGAGGCCCCCTGACTTAATGCTGCAGCACAGACTGGGGAGGCACCGGGGAGAGAAACAGTGCATGCTTGAATTTTACACCCCCGGAGCAGAGGTGGACAACTTGTGCCCCCCATTTTGTCCTCTAGTTCCTGTGCTCTCGCAGCATCAGCTTGGGGGCTGGGTCTAAAATGTTGGCGGACCAAAGCTTCTTGAGGTTCCCAGCTCTGTGCAAGAGTTTGCTTCTGTGTCTACCACCTCTTGGAGACAACTCAGCCATTTGGAGTAGCAGTCAAGGAATTGCCTCTGCCTTGTTTGCTGCTGCAGAGGAAAGAAAAACCTTTTTTCAAGCCCTGTATAACTAAAGTAGCTATGATCTCCCCTTGTTTTCTGGAAGGGAACGACGTGCTGCGCATGCAACACAGGGCCACCCACCCAGCTCCAGGTCTATTTTTTCTTCCTGTGTACGGAAAAAAATGAAGCACACTGTCCGAACGGTCCTGCAGATGGGAGTGATTCTTGCTCCTCAGTTGGAGACGGTGCCTTTATGCTGACATTCCGGCAGCAGAGGGAAGGTGCAGCGATTGCATCCACATTCTCCTTGCACCAGAGCAAAACAACTTGCCCTGGCTTTGGGCAGCAGGCTCTGGCTTATTCCACCACAGGCGGGAGCAGGTAACTTACAGCAACCCAATTTCTGTTCATGTGATTTTTTTCCAAGACCCCTGCCTGCTTGCCCACCCCAGGAAGGCAAGAAAAAATGTACTGGGCTGCGTTATTCACTTCTTTCTGAAAATGAATGGAAACGTGATGTGCAAACGATGTGCAAGGTGGCAGGAGCCCAGCAGGTCCACTAGAGGGAGCCCTTGCTAGCCAGAGAAGCCTCTGATGGTGAAAACGGCTTGTAAAAAGGATTCGTCCTTTATGTATGAGCAGAAAGTAAAGAACATTTTTGTCAGGCAGGAGGTATAGTCGATTCATACTGAAAAGGAAAGGCAAAAGAAAGCAAAGGGGCCATGTAACACCAAGTAGTGAAAGAACTACTACAATGTGGCATGGATTAATTTGTATCATCAACATTCGAAGAATGTTTTGTGCTCGATCGGATCTATGCACCAACTCCTGTGTTGTTTTTAATTTCATAGAAACAGAGATTCAGATGTTAACTGTGATACTTTCAAAAAGTGTGCTTTCAGGGAGCTGGCAGCGGAGAGGCTGCTCTCCATACCCTCCCCCACTTAAGGGGAGCCTGTTATTTCATACAGTTGACCCCTTTCCTTTGGCTCTGTTGCATCTCACCGACTCTAGTATATACCTCTGGGTTTGCATGGCGTTTTATCACATGGAACTGGCTGGACATTCCCTCTCCTTTGCAGAGAAAGAGATCTGCCATGAGGTGCAGAAATTACATGGTTGTACTCTGGTGGCTCAGAGATGGTCCAGTTTGAGGAGCAATCTAGCTGAACGGTACTCTTTGCACTGCAGTTTCCTTGTGGCTTTTGTACAGGGAAGGCTACAGCTTCCTTTCCTGGCACAGGTGGTCTGCAGTGTTTCAACTCTACCATCTAGTTTTTCCTTTGTGCCTACAGTCCCTCACCCACCCCTGAAGGAAATGTCTCTTCTTGCCACTGGCAGCTGTTTTCAGTGCCCCTTTCCCAGAATGAGGGAGGTTTGAGGAGGCTGGTCCCCATCAGGCATGTTTTTTGGGAAGGCTAACATGCACCCTGAATAGAAAGACAGTGTGCTCTTGGATTTCTCTTCCACTAGGCTGAATGCACTCCTCTGGCTGTTGGACTGTACTGCAATGGCCATCGGAAAGGTCGGCATTCAGACTTCAACCCTGGACAGTCATTCAGCTGGCCTGGTTCTTTCCACACTGGCTGCAGCTTTGAGGACAGGAGACCAATGTGGAACTGGCATGGGGTGGGCTCTCCAAGGGACAGAAAGGGGAGAGGTAAAGCTCCATCAGGAATGATGCACATTGGCAGGGCCTCAGCCTGGCCACATCGTAAGCAGATGCAAAATGGCAGGACAGCCACAACTGGCTGGCTGTGCTTTGCTGGGCAGGCTCTTGCCCTCTGTGGTCCTTCTGCGCTGGATTGTGTGGTGAGGTACGGAGGGCTGCAGGCAGCCACCAGGTGCTGCACAGCTTGGTTTCCATGCATATGTGGAAGACAGACACGCTAATGGGCATCACAGGGGAAGATGGAAAGGTGCAGGTACCCTATTCCACGACTGCAAAGATGATGAAAGTGTGACCAAAACGTTCTAGCAGGTCTACCAGTCAGATCACTTCTTGCCAGCAGTCAAGAGAATCACATCTTAGTTGAAAGAAAGAAAGAATTGTTGTTTGAAACCTTTAATAGCTTTTTATTTTTTTAAAAAAACACACAGTTGAAAAACCTACTGAGTCTGAGAATCAAAGGATTCAAATCCAGAATAGTGCAAGTCCCCACCCACCCCACACTCTTCTGTGACACAGCTCTGATCACTTTGGTTCAGATACTTAACAAGTATTGGCAAGATTGAACTTCTAACGTGTATTTTGGCTGTCTTGTCAAAACACAGATTTACAAATAAACCTTTACAAATAAAATACTTACTGATTTTATGACTACATTATTTACAGTTACTATTGTCCTTTTTCATCATATCTCGCATTAAGGTATTAACACAGGAAAGTAATTCTTCACTGTCCTGCGTGACGGTATCGCAAACTAAATCTAGAGGATACAGCGCTTGGGCATATGCACTTGAGAAACACAGTTGAAATTGGACTATTTACATTAGCAGAGAAAGGGTATTAAGAACCTTTTACAACCCAATGAAATTTGACAAGCCAGGATTTAAGGTTGCAACCAGTTTGTTTTTTCAGTTTTAAAACAGTCAACAATGGAACTCCTTCAAAGTAAATAACTTGTACCTTACTATTTGAGATTTTCCAACCACCTGAATTAAGAGCATTTAAACTGAAACAGCTTTTTAGGTTCCACCCCCCCCCCACAAAAAAAAATGTGCTAAGAGATGGGTGAACATTTGTATGCTTAGGTGGGAAATTTTTCTAAAATCTTCCAAGCATTCGGCCAATCTCAGATCATTTTTCCCAGCCAATCCAAAGATTTAGAAAAATGCCTTCCCTCCTCAGCAGCCTTCACAGTTTTCAAATGATGGCAAGCTACAGTGGGAGAGGGCTGCATTCTCTTCTGTCCCTTTCTCCATTTCCCTATCCAGTGGAGAGGAATGCCCAGAAGGGACAAGGGAAGGTGGCCTTTCTCCCAGGAGCTGCTGCACCAAGACAGCTGGTAGGTATCAACCAGGAATTATTTTCCAGCTCAGATTTTAAGCCAAGACAGAGAAGCATTTCAGGGCTTGCAAAGCCTGCTTCTTCTAATAGCCCTTGGAGAGACTTTCCAGCTCCAAGCCTGAAGAACTTCGCTGGCATTCCTAGTTTTAGGACAGTGGCTCCCAAACTATGTTCCCGGGAAGGCATGTAGCAAGCAGGGAGTGGAGGGCTCCTGAGCAGGAAAGGTGGTCTGTGGCGGGCAAAGTCAGCTCCTCCTCCAGAGCAGCAACAGCAGCAACTGCTGTGGTGGCCACGAGTGCTGGTATATGGAGGCTTCTGAACAGAGGCAGCGCCCTGCCTTTGGTGGGCTTTTGGAGCGGGTCCCACGATGCCTTTGCCTTCTTCCAATGCCCGCATGGGACTCGTGCCCCAGTTCACAGTACCTTTTCTTGGCGGCAGCAGGCCGTTTCCATATGACAGTGCACAGATTCTGTGCACCCACAATATGCCAAAGAGTTGCCAGTAGGTTTGGGCAGGGGCTGCTCAGAAGACACAAAAAGTTAAGGGCACCAAAGCTTAAGCAGTTTGAGAAATACTGTTCTGGGCTGTTTTCTTCTGTAAAACCCCGGCTTCAGCGTAGGGTCTGAAGCATAAGCCACTGGCTAGGCTAGGCTAGGCACCATATGAGGCTGGAAATGGAAGATCTTTGCGTCTGATACAAAGGTAGCCCAGTAGGAGTTCGCTTGTGCAGCAGAACTACGAGACTGGAGCCTTCCGTTTAACAGGCCCGGTGGAAGGTACAAATGCGCATGACCAGTGAAACTATTGCTGATTTTTGCTCCATGCAGCACTGAAATGAGTTCAGACCCCTTCTCTTTAATAGTCACTGTTCACTAGACATACTAAAGAGGAGACCACAAGGCTCAGATTTCGTTCAGCTGTACATTGCACTTTAGATTTTGAGACCCAGTATCCATGGATTAGCTCAACTGTGGTTGATGCTATCAAAATTACTACTGTGCTCGCCATGAAGTTATTTAGAACACCAGATGGTTTAATGTAGTGACATAAGCACTCTTCCTTCTCATGCAATCACAGATTGCAAGTTTTATAGGGCTGCCAAAAAACAAAAAAACACCCCAGGAAAAACCTCCAAACCAAAATCCCACAAAGTGATTGCTTCAGAAATGCAATGTAGAACAAGGGTTCATTTACAAGATGCATCCAGAAGTAACACTGTTAGATGTCCTGCCTCTCTCGTGGCAGCTTTCATTTGGGCTCTGAACCCAGCCAGATCCTCAGAAAGCTCAACAGGAGCCATGCAGGGACGTGCTCCTCTTCTGCTGATGTACCTCCCTGGGTACAAGCTTCTCAGTAAAATACTTAAGGACCCACAGAGCAGAGGTGCTGGGTCGAGGATTACGGAACAAAAATTGATTTTGGCTGTGCTGCCTCCAATTGCTAAATAGACATAGGGGGGCATAGATTGGTTAGGTGAGAGGCTGACAGACTTATTGCTTCTCTGTCTACAAGTTAGGGGGATCTTCACAAGATCAAGTTAAAAAAATAACACAAGTCAAAGGAACACTTCAAAACAGCACTCCCATGCAAGCCCCTCTGAACCGGGCTGGGTGCTTGCACCTCTCCCCTGGATTTCAGTCGTTCCTCCAAACAGCGTCTTCCCAGTGGGTGATGCCCATGGCCAATTATGCCTTCATCCAACACGAGTTGAAGGACTGCATCGACTGCGTTCATATTAAACCCTATCTTAAAGAATGCTGGGAAAAACACTACTCCCGTTAACCCCATTCCACATTTCAGCACCACTCAGCTTTCTTTGGGCACTTGTACAAAGCTTGCTGTTAAGTTTTGCTTCAAGACTTTGCAGTATGGTAGCTGTTTCAACATTGGAGGGCTTTGGAGACCTGCCCCCAGGCAGAGGCTCACTACACATTCCATTGGCTCTGGGTCCCTCCGCAGAACAGCCAAGCCCAGAGACTTCTTGGAAAAAAATCAAGGTAAGCTCTTAGCCAGTCTGTGGTGAGTTACATGTTCTTCACCACTCAGGTGCACGGGGAGCTCACACAGGTTGTTCAAGAAGAAATTTCCTAGCTTGGATTCAAGGGCTGGTATTTCCCCGACTTCACACTGGGACTGCAGATCCGAATGTTTAGTCGCTGTGAGGCTTATCAGGAACACCCTGTGATAGAAACGAGAAGCTTAATGTTTTTATTGTGGTTTAAAAACAATGAAGTTCAGCTTGCATTGAAATTGGATTGTGTGTTTTGCTAGACACAGCAAGTTCAGTTTTGCTGCTATGCTTACAGTCCAGCCTATTCAAGATCTCGATCCTAACTTGCCATTACAGAAATGCTGGAGGACAATCTGATCAATCACTGAAATAAAACTGGGCATGAAATCTTTTGAAGTGGAGCACATTTTGTATACTTTGGAGCCTACAGAAGCAATATTCACCATTAAACAGAAGAGGAGCAGCAAAGAGGAATCGGCAGGTCTCTAACTGAAGCGTTATGCTCAAAAAAGCATGACTCAAGTTATAACTACTCTGCACTGAGAATGTCCATGTCTCCGAATATCAGGCGCCAAGCCAAAGCTGGGCTCATCAGGCCCTGCCCAGCCATGTCAAGCCACAAGCCAAGGGCAAGGCAGATCTTAACTTGAGAAAGGGCAGTGCGGCAGCCTCCTCCAGCTTTAGACGCCTTCAGCGGTGGAATGGACAGAAATGTAACAGGCACAGCTTTTTCCGAACCCTTGTTGCCTCAGGTGGTGGTGACAGCTGTCCCTAAATGTTAGGAATCCCTGTCTCTAGGAAGTCACTCAACCACGCCAAACTCGTCTAAAGAAGTTACTTCCAGCAAAAGTCTCTCTCAAATGATGGTACAATTTGCACACGGACCACTGCATTTGTAGATGCTGTGAACAGGGCTACTGACAGTACCCTGCTGAAGCCCCGAGGGCAAGTTCGTGTCATTGCAACTGGGATAATGCGCCTCTAAACAGGCCTTCCAGCTGCCTGGGGCATGCTTTTCCAGTACAGAAGAAGCAAGTGTTCAGAAACATTTCTATTGGCCCAACATCTAAGCCGCCAATTTCCATCTTATTTGTTCTCTCAAAAGCATTTGCAAGCAAGCAGGGTTCAGCAATTCAAAGGAACCCTGCACTCACGGGCACCCTAGAACACGGGCTTGGACGATGTGCGGTCGGTCGTTCCTTCGCACAGTACCTGTTATGCTTGGCAAATGAGATGCTATCTATCCTTAATTAGGCCATCCAATGACTCGCACTTCCTTTTAAAATACAGACTGAATGAGAATTACCATAGCCAATTGCCGTCCTATGTTTCCAACCGTCACTCCTCCTGAGAAGAATATACAGGGTAGCCAGGATCGGATGTAAAGGAAGTCAGGCGATGTATACCTCAGATTAAAAAAAATATTGAAAATGACCATTAATTTTAGCAACTGTTCAACAAATTTTGTCTTTTCATCATGAAAAGGAGGTTCCACATGTTGGCAACATTATGATTTGAATGTTGATATTTTATATTTTGTTAGAAATACTAAGTACTTCACTGAAAACTATATTACAGAATTCTATTTACAGCCTTTTTTGCGTGCATGTGAGCGAGTGAGTGTGTAAACATTTATTTAGTACTGTTCAAGTGGACTGATAGGATATAGTTAATGCAGTCTTGTAAGTAAACACACAAAAATTGCTAGTCTGCAGAAAAAACTGCTAGCCTGCTAGGAAGACTAGTCATCACAGCCCTCTCCAGAAGCCCAATGCATTTCTACCATGGGGGGGAGGTGTCTGGGGGGGGTTCCCCCCCTCTAGCTGCCTAGTTGCTTCCTATTAGGGCACAAAGGAAGATGGAGCATTATTCCACCAGCTTCTTCATTCACCTGCATGCTATTTTGTCTCACCTGCGCCTACCAGACACATGCTTAAATACAAGGCAGGTTTAGTGGCACAGGAGTAGGAGAACAATTTGTGTCTTCTCTGCCGCAGTCCTGACTCTACTATTTTCCGAACTGAGCATGCCCAGAGCACACAGAAATTTTGATCTTGTACATGGTCACTATGTAAGGCCATCAAGACAAGGCTGAAGGTGCTCTTACACGTTTCAACAGGAGAGCGAACTCAGGTATTTGTTTAGTATTGTGAGCTGCCTAGGGATGCCATTGGTGGAATAGGTAGCATATAAATATTTTAAAGAAATAAATAATACCGTAACGCTGCAATAACCATAGATGGTACTTTTCAAATGGTTGTCAAGGTGGGAGAGGTACTTACTGATAAACACCATTATAGACAAGAAACTGTGTGATCAGAGTAGCTACAAAAGCTATTGTAATTCCAAGACCAAGACCACTTCTTGAACGATCGAAGGTCCACCAGAGGCCCAGTGACAGAGCTGCCAGTGTCAAGGAGAGTTGGATATTGTTTGCAAAATCCAATTTCTAAGAAGATGGCTAAGGAAAATTCTGCAGTCTTAACATCTGAAGTGCCTTCTTGCACCACACACAAATATTCAAAACAAATCACACACTTTGTTAGCTATTTCAGAGCGACAAAATAACTATGTAGATACAATGGTGCCTACATTTTTACCCTTTTCACATTTTATTTGCCCTTGATCTTTCACACATTCCACTTTTGTACTTGTATCTGCAGTACTCAAGTTCTAACTCCAATTCAGGCAGAGAAGAGACACTCGAAGTAGCTCCCTCCTGCGATTGCTCCCCCTCCCTCCATTCAAGTAGGTACTGAAGCCTGCAGTGAACCATTTCCCCCCACGGAGTCCATTCAGACCTACTGAGGAACGATGCAAGAAAGCATCTCTTTAAGGAGATGCCGATTTCCTTGTGATGAAAAGTCCTGGGAAAGCCCAGGCAACACACTCAACACTCAACATTAGTCCAGGCAGACAGGCCCACGACTCTGCTTCTAGCATCCACCAGTGACTTTTATGTGTGAGATCAGACCAGATTTTGGCAGGTACCTGAACAGTAATGTTCAGTTCTGTCCACGCATTTTACAATAGTTATTTGTTAAGGGTATTTTAAACAGCCCTTTTCTAATATTACTACTGTTTTGTGCATTGCATAAATTTGCGTCCCCATCTTCAGAACGTGCTGACCTACTCTCACAAAGACCTTTGTGTTGCTAGGAGCTGAAGCAGAGCCCTCAACATAGCAAATGGGGCCAGCACCATCAGTTTCGTCCTACTTGCTGTTTAAGTAACTGCAGGAATAGTAAAACTCCTACACAGAACTTTGCTTTCATACCCAGGAGTCGGTGAGCTGAAAGGTCCTTCACACCCCCACAGCGCTTCCTCCTCAGCACCTCTGCGAGCAGGAGAATCCTCATCCTGCCAGAAGGAAAGTGTGGCTCTTTTCTCCCTGCTCCTGCAGCCCCACCCGAGATCCTTCAAGACACCATTCCAATGCAGTCACCCAGAGGAACAAGTCATGAGGCTTAACATCCAGTTCAAGTTAGTGCTTTACAAAGGTGGAAGTATGGAAACAAAATTTCAAAAATACACTCCATCTGACACATTAAAATAACAATGCAGTTGAAGCTGGTAAAGCGTTGACCAAGAAGAGCAACAAAACGAAACTGAGCCCCATCCCGGTATACCCAAACTGTTTCAAGGATACAGCGCTTGCATGGTTAATGCCGACAAAGACAGCTATGCATCGCATGACACTGGCCCATTCGCGCTTGAATTTGTGAGGCTCCCCAAGATGGCTGTCAATGCAGGGATACAGCAGGCCAATAAAAGCTGTAAGAGAATAGGACAAATTGTTCACAACATTGTCACTTCCAAGCTACTGCACATATTCATTCTTCAGCACATGGTAAATCCTCAACGAGAACTAGAAGCTATTTTTCTTACTGTTATCTCTCTTCAGATATTTGAGAAATGTTGTGATGCTTCCAAGTATTCTCACGCATTATGCTAAAGATACAGCATGGGGCTGGATCCAGATCTAGTCATGCTTAGAGTAGAGCCACTGAAACCAATGGAATGCACACACATGAGAGGCAGTGTGGTGTAGTGGTTAACAGCGTAGGACTGGGACTCAACTAGATCCAGGTTCCAGTCTCCATTCAGCCAGGAGCTTGCTGGATGATTCTGGGCCAGTCACACTCAGCCCAACCGACCACACAGGGTGGTTGTTGCGAGGATAAGACTGATAGGAGGAGGAGAACTGTGCGACCTCCCACTGACTGGAACATGTAGGGTTGTTCTTTACAGTTATTCCGCTTGGTGTGAAAAAATTCCAGAAACCTGGACACTCTGAATGCCAGGTGGAACTATGACAGGTGTGGTTACAACTGCAACTGAACCAGATCTATATGAGCAGACAGCTTAAGTTTGTCACTGCATGATAACCATGTTTGTGGGAATAGGCAACAAGCATGAGTTAAAACCCCCATGCAAAGAAAAGACAGGGCTGAAAAACCATTAAATGGGAATAAGAGTTAATTTTCTTCTCATCCTGTGCAGCCTTTCCCCTACAAACTGTGCTTGCTTCACCTTTATTTATTTGCTTCCTTTAACAAGAAAATGGTTGATAACTTTAAGTAAACAGTCTTGTTTAAAGCTTTCAGTTGTTTCCATCTTAAATGTGGCCAGACAAAACTTACTCCGCAACAATATTGTTTTGGCCAGATCTTGTTTGGCTTGTTCTATTTAGAAACATTGAAACAGAGCGAGTCAGAAGGGGCCTCCTGGGCCTTCTAGTCTGACCCCTGGCTCCAGCTGGCTCCGCTCACGACATGCCTGTATTTCAGAGGCCACAGCAGCGCAGTCACAAACTCTGGCCCCTTCTCCAAGGTTTTGCCTGAGCTAGCGTCTTTCTCCCATGCTGAACACATCTATTGGAAGGAGACTGCCAGTTTGTGCCTATCAAAGCAGGTGACTTCAAAGTGGGTATTTGATTTGGGCCTGGAGCAACACCTTCAGGGGTGTTCAGTCCTGGACTAAGAGCAACTAATTCAGAACTTGAAATGGCGCTGCATCCTCCTGAGTATCTGCTTTAATAGCAACACCTATTGCTGAAATTCTGTATTGGAAACCGCACTATCAACACACGCAGCATTCAACAAGGACCTATTTCTCCTTTCTTTCTTTCTTTCCTGCAGAAAGGTTGTACAAGCATATGTTAGAGTTTACATTTCAAATATCTCTGCAAAATACTCAGTGCTTTATTTCATAATGCAGAGTTATTAGATAAATAGTGTTAGCTGGGTTTGTTTCCTGCAGTCAGCTACATGCTTTGCTCGGACTGCATCACAAAAAGACTTCCTCTTTTCATAGAGTACTTTGTCCTGCGCTTCGGGTAACCCTCCCTGAAGCTTCTGCTGGCAACTGCCAGCTGCCCTTAGAACAGGCACCCAGCCAAGCTGCGCTTCCCTTGCTCTTCTGTCACAACGTGTGACTTCCTTGTTTTTGATTCAAGTGCGTGGCATGTTCAGACCGGCGCCCAATCAGAACAGGGACATGCAACTCACCAGTTCCAAGAGGCAGCCAATGGGAGCGCAGAGAGTGGGGATGAGTCATGCCAGCTCCTGTGCGAAAACTTGACAGGCAACAGCTAGAGGAAACTTCTGTCTGCGGGACAAACCGACCCGCTGGCCAGTCCCAACCTCTCCTGGACAACGATCTACAAGCTACACGCTGGTCTTTCAACTGGCCATTCTGATTTGATCAGTAGCTGGGTGGCATGAACAATGTGTCTCGGTCCTTAAAGATACAGGCACTTTCCAGGAAAGCCAGTAAGCTTGTGAAACAAAACAACACACACTCCAGCAACCGGCCCGTCCCAGGCACCATCTAACCGATCCGACCCCAGCACCCCCAATGCTTCTCTGAACTGAGATCCCCAAGCTAAGCACACTGAGCCCAGTGACTCACCTGCTGCTGTCCCACAGCAAGGGGGCACCCACCAAGCAGAAGAGAAGATGGTCGAAATGACCTCCTCGGGAAAGAGTGTGACGTTCCTCTGAATCTGCAGCAAGTTCAGCACCAATGCGAGAAAAGTGCCCACTGCAAAGAGTACCAGGCTCCGCTGCAACACATCCCTGCTCAAGTTCAAGCTGCTGCTGGCACCGCTGCCAAGTGCTGAGGCGCTCGGGTTCCGTGCTCCATGACCCACGAGCGTCAGGGGAGAACTTGAGACGGAGCTGCTCAGCATTTCGCCCACCTTGGCTGCCAGCCCTGTAGCAGTTCCACCTAAGGGACTTCTATGCCTTCCCCGGACAGTACAGGAACAACTCCAGCTGTGATCATCCAGTCTGGGCACAGAGTTCTCCATCGAGTCTCTGAAAGACACATGGCAATGTTATTAACCCCAAGGCTAGTCAGGCAGTGTGCAAGCATGATGCACTTCACATGCAACCTCTCACTTCGTGCTTCGCTGCCACAAGGCATAGGAAGCTTTACAAGTGACGGCTCAGCTCAGGATTAGGCAAAACTTCTGTGATGGACATACCACAAGATGCCTTAGCATGGTGCCGAAGGGAATGAGTTGTGATCTTGAAGGGCACCGGTTCATAGCTGTGACTCACAAGATGTTGGGCATGGAAATCTCCCTTTTCGTCATCAGCCCTGCATCCTGCAATGCCAGGATAATACTAGTCTACCCTACAGAGCTGTCATAAGCATTACAGCCATCATTTATGTGAATCACTGAAAGTACTGCATTATTACTCTAAAATAGATACCTTGTATAACCCTAAGCATCAGTACTAGGTCACTAAATCCTTTGGAAGAATCAGTGCAAAGTAATAACTAGAGTGCTTTAAAACTTGGGAGACCCAGGTAGAAATGTCCACTCAGGCTTGAAGCTCGTTGGTTGACCTACCAATTGGTTGACCTCCCTCTCTAACCTCCCAACCCTAGTCGAACCTACCTCATAAGCCTGAACTACAAATAATGCACGGTGGTACAGGGGCTACGCAGACTACCTTGGCCTTTTGAGAGAGGGGACATGACACAATTATGGCTGATTAAGGATGCAATCCAGTACTCGATAACCCAAGAATAAGCTCCATTGAACAAAATAGGTCATACTGCCTAGTATGCACAGCTACTTTACAGGAATGAGTGACCTCATTGTTTTAAGAACCTAACAATTCAGTACAGAGTCTTCACAAAGGACATCAAACAATTCCCTTCACCATGACAAAATTACATATCAGATAAGTATTTCACATCTGTGTTTTTTTTTCCTCTCATATATCTCATTTCCAGGGGAAGATGTCAATTGTCATCCAAGGAATACACAAGGGGGAATGTGTGGTCCTCCAGATGCTTGCAGACTGCGGGTCCTCTCAGCTTTAGCCAGTGTAGCCAATGGCGAGAGAGGAAGGGAGCTGCAGTCCAACAGCATCTGGAGGGCTGAACATTCACCTGCCCCATTTTACAAGACTAAACACTGAATCATTCAAACTATCCTAAGAATTAAAAGCGAAACTCCACATTGTCTCAATAGCAGTGACTGAGATATTTAATCAATGCCTCATAGTACAGATTGGAGTCAACTGGCCTAGTATGTAAAAATTGCAGTTTGAAAAATCCACAATTCCAAAGTCAGATTTACCTTCGTAGAACTTTTTCCTTAAGCAGAGCACCCACCTATATTCCTATATGCTATTTTTGCTAGCAAGTCCTTTAATAAAGAGATGGCCCTTCATCTCATCATTCATACTAAGTAAGAAACCTCAGGAAGTATAAACAACAATCTTCACTATGTACATTAAGCAGAATCTGTCCTGGATTGTGCAAAACCCATCCTTCTCTAGGGATATCTTTGAAAAGCTACCTCTATTGCTATTCCCACTCCTGAAATTTTTATTGGCATCTTTCTTTCTGGTATCTGGGCACCAGCCCCCAAGACTCCTTTCTTCTGGATCATATTCTGTCCACTGGCTATAAGGCCTTCCTCACTGAGGCTGGTGCTACTTCTTGCTATTTGACATTTATATCTATATGTAGCCTTTGGAAAGCTTCAGCAGAGACCCAGCTTCACTGTCCAACTGTTGTTGCCTCCGTGATACCTTCTTGCTGAAAAGCAGTAGTATTGGCCCTACAGCCCATTGTTCTGTTTGGTATAATAGGCCTGGCATTGCTTCTCTCATCCAAACTGTCAAAGCTACGATGGACCCCAAAATGGAACCCTTTCCCCAAAAGAAACTGTGTGTTGGTTTTCACATATAGAAGAGTTTAGGGGCTGCTAGCATAGGTAATTCACACCCTCCCCCTTCATTCCCAAAGTTCGGATCCTATAAATGCATCCCTTCAAGCAAGCATCCTTGAATCTGGCTTCCAGATTAACGTGCATAGAACATGCCTGCCATACAGACATTTTGCCAGGGCTGGTGTTCCCGTGACTCCAAGAGTGAGGAGACAACACTCAGATACCCTCTTTCCCCCATATACGGACAGACAGACTCGCACGTTTCGCTTTTCACAATAAGCAAGAGGGGCAGGGGGGCGAGGAAAGGCAAGAGGGGAACACTGCTACAGACTCTTCATCACCCACCCAGCTGGGCCTGAGGTTTATGTCTGCCCCTGGGAAGGCCCCGTACCGGACCCATCACACCTTCGAGACGCCGCTCTTTCCCTGCAGGGGCCCAACAAGATCCTCGCTGATCAAATGCTGCAGAAAGCGGGCAATGGAGGGGAGGAAAATGGACAGAGATGGCATCACACCCCACCGTGGCGCAGCGAGACCATCCAAGAGACAGCGGCGGGGCACGGAGCCACAGGGCTTGCCCCCGCTGCTCAGGCTCCCAGTCCTCCTCTTCCTACCCCCGAGAGATAGACTACCTTTGGACATGGAGGCTCGAATCCCACATCGCAACCCACGACTCACGTCCTCCGTGAAGCGCGCATGCGCGCGAGGAGGGGCTGTCTCCCCTCGCAAGAGGCGCCCTCAAGCATCTACCATTCGGCGAGGGGGAGACCCTTCCTCACGGAGACCCTACCTCCTCAGGCTCCCTCGCTCTTCTGCCACACGACGCTCCCACGTAGCTCCTACGGCAAGTCCTCCTCGTCTCCGTCCTCCTCTCTCACGCGCGCCACGGCGCCCACGGAAACGGCTTATAAAGCCGCGAGCCCCGAAGTCACGTTACCCGCCGCCACGGGGCGAGCCGCGTCCCCGCCCCTCGCGCCGCCGCCGCCGCCGTGGACGAGCGAGGGAAATCGGGAGGGGTGAGCAGACGAAGCGCTTTCTTGGGCAGCCCCGAGAACAACATTGCAGTCTGGTGAGGCCGCCCGGCCAATGGGAGCCGGGCGGCCCATATGACGTAGGGGACACACCACCCGCCTTCGCTCGACTGACAGCGAGAGAGCTGACAAGGCGGGAACGCGAGGGACGGGCGGGTGAGGTGGCGGGTGCGGGCGGGGCGGCGAGCGCGCGCTCCGCGTCTCGAGCGCGGCACGGGGCGTCCCCGCCTCAGCGGCCGGGCTGGCGCGGCGGCGAGGGTCGCGCGGGCCGCCGCCATGAGGCGAGGCGAGGACCTCTCTTCTCGGCCCCGCGCTCGCGCCCCCTCCCCCGCAAACGTAACCGCAGAACAGCCCTGCGAGGAAGGCTGGGCCGAGAGAGAGCGGCCAACACAAGGTCACCCGGGGTGGGCTGACCTCCCCGGTTCCCCCAGCGGCAGCCTGGCCTTCCCTGCCGTTTGTCCGCTCAGCCCCGACCTCCCCAAGCCTCTGCTCCAGAGGGGGACGAGGGAAAGAGCGGGACTGGCCCAGCTCGTGTTCCCACGGCTTGGGTGGCGCGCAGGTGTCCCGTTTTTTGAGGGCTTGACTTCAGTCTAAGGCACACGGTGCGAGGAAAAGGGGAGCGCTCAGCTTGGAAGGCACGATGTGGACGAAGGAGAAAGGTGCGGAACATGACGTCCTACTATATAGTCTATAGTCATTCTTAACTGCTGTTCCACATCAGGTGCAGTCTCCCAAGGTGCAACTTGTGTCAGAGGAGGACCCCTGAGCAAGGGACAACCGCAACCATGGGGTCTTTTGGATGCTTCCTTTGCCACATGGGAGATGCTGTAATGCAGGGGTGTCCAACCCGTGGCCCACAGGCAGCCCAGGATGGCTATGACTGTGGCCCAACACAAAATTGTAAACTTAAAACATTATGAGATTTTTTTTGGTAACACGATCGAGCGGTTCTTGAGCGTGAACTTTGTAGGTGACAACACCGTGTTGCAATGTCATGTAAAATAAGCGTACGTATGCTCTTGCTATTTGTACGCATGCATGGCTTTAGTTTTACAGTGGTGTGCGTCTTCCATTTGTGAGCTACTATTTTCAAGAATGAAGCATGCTAAGAGTAAAATTAGAACCGAAATCATCTAGAGAACTCACTGAGAATTGCCACTACTTCCAATGAACCAGATATCGATGCATTAGTTTCTCAAATACAATGTTAAATATCCCACTAGTTTTATTTTGCCCTCTTTTCTTTTACTTTTATAATAAAAAATATCAAAAAAACCCCAATGAAGTTTTATTACTTAGATATGTTCATTTTCTATATTAGGCATTGCAAACTTGGGACCTGCTCAGTTTTAAAAGACTCTCCAAATGGGGCGCTGCCTAATAAGGATTATTATGTGAAGACTCTTTTACTTATCTGTGGTGGCAGATATCAAAAATATTATGCACAGACCCTTTTTTGCTCATTATTTCCCATTAGTGTTTGTGTATTTAATGTGTGGCCCAAGACAATTCTTCCAATGTTGGACACCCCTGCTGTAATGCAATTTTTTCCGCCCCTCTGCAGAAACTTCAGATGCCATAGAAGGATCACACAACATGTCCCTTTTCCCCACAGTGACATTGCTCCAGTAGCAACAGTAAGCAGCAACACTCACATATACAGTAAGCCTGCAGGTTATGAATATCTGACTTAGGAACAAACTGCTATAAAGTCTATTAATTTAAAAATTCAAATTAACAGTTGGTTTGTAGTACTGAATGTGGGAACTATTTTGTTATGCTTGTGGAAATGTTCCCCAATGTGGGTTGTTAGTTGACTTGATCATACCCAATCCAGTGTGTTTTGGGTCACATGCAGCTAGCTTTGTTTTCCACAACTTGTATTACAGTATTGTATTGTGTTTAAGATGTTTTAGTGTATATGGAAGTGTTTCTTAAAGTGTTTTATATTCACAGAAAGGTAAAATATGTATACTAAGATAAACATTTGGCTTACTCACGCTAAATGGTACCCATATGTACATGATCCGACTTACATACAAATTTGACATAAAGACGTGCTCAGGAACAGAATTTTTTGGTAACCCAGGGACTGCCTGTGCACCACAAGCATCTCTTGCTGGGCTTGGTTTTACCCAAGAAGTATTAGATGGAGCCACAGTGCTGCATCTCTCACCACAAAGGTTAAAGACAGATGGAAACCAGTGGGAAGCTAACCAATATCCACCCACTTGAGGATGTTACCACTCCGCTCCATGCTTCTTCAGATCTCTTGTGGCTTTCTGTTCCAAAGTGTGATAAAACTCTCAATTGGGAGGGTAGGGATCATCATGTGGTTTGTATGATTCCATTTGGTACATACTCATCTGTATTCACCCAAGACTGAGTTTGAACAAGGACTTAACAGTCTTGCAACTTGTTTGCCATGCTGGAGTAAGTGTTCTGTTTTTGGTAGTCTGTGTTTTGGTCTTTTTGGTAGCCTGTGTTTTATGGTCCCACAGCACCACAAACTAAGATGTACTTGATAATACCACATGTTGAAGTATAGTCTGTCTCAAAATGCAGGCCTATAGAGGTAAGTTGCAGGTCAACATAACTTAATCCCAGGATTAATTGGTGCAGAATGAAGGACATATTGGAACACAATTCAAATAGTTGGACTCACTTCCCACTTTGGGGGCGTTCAGGAAGTCCATCAGTTCTTGTTTAGAACTAGCGAGGTCTAGCTTCTCACCTTTTTCCTAAATGCTTCTCTGAGACGCTACCCAATACTGTTGGGAAACCCCCTTTAAAGATGTCACTTATGCAAAGCTGAACGTCACTGTGTAAAAGCATCAATTCATGGGCAAAGTTCAGCTTAGTTTTTCACTTCAGTGAACCTTTGTTGGGACAAAGCAATGCGGGAAGCTTTCCAACAAGGATGAAAAGGGACATGTCATTTATCTGTTCAACTAATGCCCAGATGAGCTGGGACACCAGAAATGGCAGAACCTTAATTCCTAGGACAATGGTGACTCTTCTGCATGGGTCATTGCAGTTCATTCCTGACAGTTGACAGTTTGTTAAAGTAATTACGATCTCTTCTGATTTTCAGGTTGAATGTAAGGTTGTTGTGTCATTCCCCCCTCCATATTTGCATACTTTTGTCATTTCTAATGATCTAAAAATAAATGTGGCAGCTTTTCTCCTTTGAAGGCTCAAAATGCAGATGACCATTTTGTAGGGAAGGCTGGTGATCCTTTATCAATGGGACTCCTCATCCATTGCCGCTTTCCTTTTGAACTTCATAGGAGCTATCCATGGTCATGAATGCCAATAGGTTTGTCACTGCGGAGCACCATGGAAAGTTCAAAAGAAAAGCATCAATGGATTGGTCGCCCCACTGCTGCAGGAATCACCAGCCTCCTCTCCTATTTTGCCACAGTTCAACCAAACTCCTGCACCTTGTATGTGGTCAAATCCTTACCATTCCACAGAATGCACAGGTAACCAACCTGCCTCTGAGTGAAGGAGCACTAGCACTTATAGTCAGAAGGCACGGTGCAGTTAATCTGTCTTTTCTTTCTCAAGAGTAAGAAAAAAGATGGAATACAAGGGTGGGTTTTGAATGGAAGACAGTGATGTCTCCCTAGAAAATTGCATGAATGAGGCAGAGTGATTGTGCTATCGAAGCCTTATCCAGATATCCACTTTTAAGTGCCACTGCTTTAATCACTAGTGGATGGGATCCCCATATCAAGAGATCACACATCTTTCTTCCACAGCACTGATAAAAGCTTCTACTCATGTTCACTAGGATTACCACCTAGCCAACACTTGTAAAAGCCTGACCAGAATTTTACTATCTTGACAAAAAGAGAATGATAAAGCCAGAAGGGGGGGGGGAATCCACTCAGGGTCTGTTTGGAGAGTGGGTAGGTGATGAAAACAAGCTAAAACAGCAATGATAGTTCTATTCTCAGCTGCGAGTTGGTGCTTTCTTTCAGGTTTGGTACAGTTCATGCTATACCAAATACAGGCTAGAAATGCCACAAATCAGAGAAGTCAGCAGATGCAATTGTTGTAATTAGGCCTAAGTCTTTGACTGACCATCTAGATTTAATTTCCCACTCTTTGACTACGGTTGTGACCTGCTCCATTAGCTGCTATGATTGTAATTGTTTACTCAAGGGGACTTGGATGTACCTTTTTCATAAAGATGGAACATCTGTTGCCATTTTGCAACTTCAGAAAATGTGGGTGGAAATATAGCTTTGAGCAATAAAAAAAGTAATCATGAGTTACTGTGGGAGGAGTTCTTGATGCATTACTTTTTGTTGCCATTGGCAAGAAACAGCTGCATCGTACTAATTAAAAATCCTTCCTACGCAGGGGATCAGGATAATTTACACTAGTTCATATATAACAAATGGGCCAGCTCCTATCCTACCAGAGATTACAGCTTGAGAAGGCACAGAAAATGAAATAGAAGAGGTGTGGGAAAGTGATTTGTAATAAATTTGTGTAATAAATGTAAAGTGAAATCAGTCCATTTAATTCCCCTCATTCACATGTATTTGAAGCCTTTTTACCCAATTCCTCAGCCAAAAATAGCTTCCAGACCTGATTACATAGTCCTCTTTCCATTCCTATCACTTTCCATAACAATCTTCTTTATCTACCATGACTCTTTTTCACAGGGTTATCTGGAACTTATATATCTTTTGCTAGATTGCATTCAATATGTGCCGGGAAGTTACTTTAGTGAGTGCCATGACTTTGCAATTATGTTGGTACCTTTTCTCTTTCCATATGACTTTTCCCTTTTCTTGCTAAGGCTGACAAGTGCAGAACTGCAAATTTAGAAAGAAAAAATGCCTACAAATACCTGGAACTTGCAGGAATTTATAGACTTTTTTGTATTTAAACTTGCATAGAACTGTGCTTCTAGACTACTATTATACATGTGTTCTTTCTGCTCACCCCCACCCCTGAATAAGCAATTTATGTTGGTTTAATTCACCTGCCCTGGA